CCACAGTACATAATCAGATTTTTTGTGTGAGAGGTAGTATTTTATAGTTTCAAGTGTGTTTAGTCTACCTGGAGATGTTGTCTGACTGCACTCAAGGCGTCTCGTTGTTGAGCAAGTAAGTACGTAAGTAAGCAAGCAAGTAAATAAGCAAGAAAGTAAGTACATAAGTAAGTAAGCAAGTATGCAAATAAGCAAGTAGATACATAAGTACGTAAGTACTAAGTAAGCAAGCAAGTACATAAGTAAGTACGTAAGTAAGCAAGAAAGTATATAAGCAAGAAAGTAAGTACATACGTACGTAAGCAAGTATGCAAATAAGCAAGTAGATACATAAGTAAGTACGTAAGTAAGTACTAAGTAAGCAAGCAAGTACATAAGTAAGTACGTAAGTAAGCAAGAAAGTAAATAAGCAAGAAAGTAAATACGTTAAGTAAGCAAGTATGTAAATAAGCAAGTAGTTACATAAGTACGTAAGTAAGTACTAAGCAAGCAAGTAAGTACATAAGTACGTAAGTAAGCATGTATGTAAGCAAGTAGGTACTTAAGTACATAAGTAAGTACGTAAGTAAGTACTAAGTAAGCAAGCAAGTAAGTACATAAGTAAGTACATAAGTAAGCAAGCATGTAAATAAGCAAGTAGGTACATAAGTACATAAGTAAGTACATAAGTCAGTACGTAAGTAAGCAAGAAAGTAAATAAGCAAGAAAGTAAGTATGTAAGTACGTAAGTAAGCATGTAAATAAGCAAGTAGGTACATAAGTCCTTAAGTAAGTACTAAGTAAGCAAGAAAGTAAGTACATAAGTATGTACGCAAGTAAGCAAGTATGTACATAAGCAAGTAGGTACATAAGTATGTAAGTAAGTACGTAAGTAAGCAAGCATGTAAGTAAGCACATAAGTAAATAAGCAAGCAAGTAAGTACGTAAGTAAGTACATAAGTAAGCAAGCAAGTATATAAGTTAGTAAGTAAGTAAACAAGCATGTAAGTAAATATGTAAGTAAGTAAACTTTATATACAGTAGGACATTTCACAGTCATAAACATCACAAAGTGCTTTACAGAGAGCAAAATAACTAAAAACAACACAAACAGTGCACAAATACAATGAAGAACAAATAAACAGTAAACAAAGAAGTCCTGATGCATCTCAGAAAATCAAACAGAAAACTTAAGTAGGTCTTCTGGACGGATTTTTCTCTAATGATTAAAGAAGAACCCGTCCAGAGGACCTACTTGTGTTTTTCTTTTTGAGTAAAGAAAAGCACTTCATCTCCCTACAGTGTTCATGTTTGTTTGCTTTAAGAATACAAGGTAAGTGTGCTGTGCCCTCTGTCAACAGAGAATCGCGGCCCCTTCCATCATTTAAGTTGCCCATCCCTGGCCTAACTCATCCTGGTCAGGACTCATATAGAAGTGCACTCATGTGCAGCAAAGCAGACATGAGTGTTAGTGACACGAGCCAAAGGCAAGATTTGATGCCACGTCCTTGTGAACTGGTCTTCACTGTGCAGAACACACACACACACACACAAGCACGCACGCACGCCTGAACATGATGCCGCCGCCTGCTGCGTGCTCTAATGTAGAGAGGTGATTCCTAGAGCTTTACCATCTGCCCTTATTACACACAGTCACACCTCCAAACCTAAACAAAAACACATAAATCTGCAAGAAACGCTCCACTTCTGTTCCTTTAACTTTTACCTTGGCGGTGACTTTCGCAGCTGTGTGTTAGGAGAGCTTTGTGAATAAATCTGATCTGACAGGTTGTCACAAAGCAGCAGAGGACGCTCTGCAGGTTGAATAAATGCATTCTCTCTGACAACAGACGCCTGCAGGTCACCACAAATTAAGTCTCACCTCCATGCACCTTCTCTTCCTCCATTAATACATTCATGTGTGTGTGTGTTTGTGTGAGTGCAGGTCTGCACATGTGATGGTGGCATTAGCAAAGTGACACCTTCTTTTTTTTTTTTTAAGGGGCGGGATGGGACAGTCTCGCCACTGATGCCTGTGCCCACTCACATTTGCTTTTAGACATTTAGGGTTAGAGTTGGGGTGGAGGGGAAACTGGTATAGTGCTGGCCTCTGCCCTGTCT